ACTATTCTGGTATCAGGTGAAAGTGACTAAACCTGTCAGTTTCAGGTGAAAGTTGTCTGCAGGGATTAGAGGGGCTGGCACAGCGCGGCCCAGCACACGGGCAGGCTGATCTCTTTAGGTAAAATAGAACTTAGATAAGGCAGAAGGAAAACCCATTAACTGTCTAAGTGAATGATCTCTGTATAGGTTACGAGCTGCAGGATATCCGACTCCATGTGTTCCTTAATGCAGATTTAGAACAGCTGCTTCATTTTTTTTCTGGTTGTTGCGTTTCATTGGCTTTCCAGAGTTAGTGCTATTTTCTTGCTCCCCTCTGTCTGTGCAAAAGCAATCCTACTGTATAGCATGGCAGACCCAATCTCTTGTGGGAGAAGTGTGCTTTTGTGAGATTGTCCCTCTGTTCCTGCTTCCAGCACAGCAGCCCAAGGGCAAAGTGGGAATCTGTGTCCAGGTTCCTGGGGAATAGAGCTGTCTCCTCGCTCGAAGGAGCCCTGCCTCTAAGCTAAGGCTGGATTTGGAACCAAAATTTATTTTAAAAGCATAATTATACACCTTCTTTAAAACAGACAAGCTATTAAATGACAAGTTATCTCTCTTTTTCTTTCTTTTTTTTTTTGTTCCCTCTTGAAAGCTGAATATAGATAATTATATTTAAATAATGTGCTGCTCGTGATACAACATTTAGCAGCCAAAGCCTGGGAGAGTTTTATTTGAAAATCGCTTATTCAGGGCCATCATTAAGCATATCTGAAGGAAGAGGGGGATTAACCGCTGAAGGGTCATACACACACACATATATGTATGTATGTCTATAGGGTCTCTGCTGCAGGGTCTCGGTGTTAGTGCTGGTTTGCCAGGAGCACGGCAGCTCCCTGTGCCTGATCCCACGGACAAGCCCTGCCCCAAGTGCCCCTTCTTACTCATCTGCCTTTCACCATGGTAATAAATACCAATTAGTGAAGGTACTTTAAATGTGTTTGGGCTTCTTGTAGGCAGCTAGTCCCTTGGGCAGGCTGAATTCAACAGCCCTGGGGACTTCTAGACCTGAACTGTACAGACAGTATTTAATTCCTGCTGGTGTCCCCATGACTCCTGCGTTTTCCCCTCCAGCCTCCCGGGAGCAGCGGCTCCGCACGGCACGTGCTTTCCCTGGATGGTTATGGAATGCCCACAGGTTGGGATTTCATTTGTGAAGCTACCACCAACTTTTTAGGGATCTTTTTAAAGAATTATTTCAATAAAACCAAAGCGCGTACAAGAAGAAAAACAATTGTAGAAATTTGACAGTTACCTTCAGAAACTTGGGGGATAAGATTCGTTATATATAGCACGGGGATGGAAAATTTAACACAGAATTGGGTTGTGGAGATCAAGAAGTATTCTGGAAACCTCCTGAAAACACCAACACCGATTCTTTCTGTACCTATTAAATGACACTGCTCTTGTCATCTCTCTTTTCTCTCCCTGCATTCTCTGGGTACTGGTTCTGCTCCTCATGGTGCTTTCCCCTAAAACCTCCCTGGGCAGAGGGTACAAATGAACCCTGTGCCGGTGCAGCAGTGTGTGTGAGCCAGAGCGGTCGTTAGTAGCACTGAGATGTCTTACCACACTGGCAAAAGCTCCAGGAGAGCAGCTCTGCCCACCTGCCTCCCTCAGCCTCCCTAGTTCTTTAAGGACCTTCCACTGATTTCCAGCACACCTTTCTTTGGGAGGGGGCAGAGACAGAAGTCTCAGCCACCTTTTTAAAGTTTTATGGAAGGAAGAAGCCGAGGAAAGGAGCTCTGCCATGTGAACCCCTGGGGCCGTACTGCAAGCTCTAACCCCTCATCGGGCAAAGTGACTTGGGGGGGCAAGGGGGGAGACAAAGCAGAGCTGGGGGCTTCAGATGGGCTATATCTTACCAGCTGCTGAGGGACCCATCCTGCACCAGCCTCGTGCTCACGGAGGGGCCTGCGTTGGTTGGAAGAAGTGAGGTGTGCAGCCTTGTTCAGTCTCATGCCTGTAGCAGAGTACGACCTTTGCTGCAACTCAAAAATAAATTAAAAAAAATAAAGAATACTAGAACTAGTGGGACTGTGACCACAATCTTTAATGCAGGAATGTCTGTTAATGCGATTAGTTAGGAAATTCAAATTATGCTTCACAGAATTATTAGCTAATTCCACTCCTTCCACAGAGACTGAGGGGAAAAAAGAGAGGTTTTTTGGAGTGAATGGTAATTCCTTAATGAGTGGTTCAGTGAATAATTGCAGTGCTGGGCATTGAGCCATTCACTGGAAGGGGAGCTCTTGGGTGATGTGAGTGCCATATTTATACAGGAATGTCTCGAGATAATGCCAATACAAAACAGAATGGTGTTTGACATTTAGGAGAAGACACAGGCAGGAAAACTTGGACGTGTTAATAAGTGTGTTTGGTAACATTCTTTTTTGATCAGAATGTTGTTAGCAATGCCATATTGAGCCTATAGAAAACATACCTTTAAAATCAAGTTCTCCATGAGCACATTTTCCTTTATGGTTTGTTTCATAGCTAAAATGAAACAAACTTGAGCTTTGCCCCAGTGCTCTCCGTGGCTTATGGGGTGTTTCAAGAAGAATACAGTCTAGAGAAGGGCGCTCCGTGGAGCAGGGTTTGTGGGGAGCAGCCCTGCAGCCCCCTCCCTGTCCTTCTCTGCCCCCCTGTCCCCAGGCACTGCCAGCAGCTTCCACGGCCCCGTGTGGCTTATGGGGTGTTTCAAGAAGAATACAGTCTAGAGAAGGGCGCTCCGTGGAGCAGGGTTTGTGGGGAGCAGCCCTGCAGCCCCCTCCCTGTCCTTCTCTGCCCCCCTGTCCCCAGGCACTGCCAGCAGCTTCCACGGCCCCGTGAGGGGATGCCTTCTCCTGGGGTTTGTTCTACCTAAAATGAGATGAGTGTGGTGGGGGGAGTGATGGCTTTAGGGCCACACCAGGGACAGAACCCAAGCCTCTGGGTTCCTGGCCTCCAGGCACGGGGAGATGCCTTCCCCTGGGGTTTGTTCTACACTAAAATGAGATGAGTGTGGTGGGGGGAGTGATGGCTTTGGGGCCACACCAGGGACAGAACCCAAGCCTCTGGGTTCCTGGCCTCCAGGCTTTGCTCTCCCTTCCCGTGGGCAGGGGGGAGGTTACACTTAGAGTCTTATCTCCTGACCTTCTGGTGATACTCTGCAGTGAACAGCTCTGGTGAGGCTGGAAATTTATGCCATTTTCTTACCTTATCACAGCTGTCCTGGCTGCTTCTCTTCCCTTTGCACCTTACCTGCTTTGTTACTTTGTGGTAGTATTGGGTTTTTGGTTAGTTTCGGTTTCGGGGGCTTTGTTGTTTGGTTGGCGGGTTGGTTTGGGGTTTGGTTTTGGGGTTTTTTTAAGCAGTTTCCTGTTTCTTAGTGGTTGCTCACGGGAGTAGAATTCCCCTGCCAGCCCGTCAGTGTTTGGCAGGGGACACCAAAGCCCGATAGCAACGGGCTTCTGTTTAATTCAGTCCCTCCTGGGTGGTACTCGATATATTCAGATGAGTCAGACAGGGTGTGAGGCCCGTTGTGGCTGTGCAGAGCCGTGGTGTGTGCCCCCACAGCGCTGGCTGGGCTGGGGGGGACAGGGGGGACCTCTGCGGTTATTGGGAGCGGAGGGTGGGCAGGGGTCGGCCAACGGCTTCTCTGGATCTACTTTTAAAATGGAAAGTGTTTATGAAAATGAGGTTTTACCTTTTTATTTAAGGAGAGAAGGCTGAGTCTGGTGCTGCTGTCAGTGATGGTGTCAGGGGTTGTCCAGGGTGGGCACTGGCCATGGAGATGTGTCCCCTCTGCGGAGGTGGCACCAGGGATCATCCCTTGGTGAGCGGAGACCGAGCTGTCCCCGTACGGGGACGGTGCTGCCGTGTCCCCTCCACGCAAACACCCCTCGGAAATGAAGCTGGGGGTGGTGCTGGGTCTGGCTGGTGGTTCTTTCCTCTGGACCACTGCTCTGGCAGAAACCGGCCCCAGTTCCCATAGAAGCCACACGTGAAGCACAGCAGCCCAGCTCTGCAGGAAACCTTAGAGGTTGCAAGTGGGAGCTCTCTCTGTGATGAGCTAGAAAGTGCCTTCTCCACCCCCCTCCCCAGGCTCTGCTCTCCATTAGTTTGTTGGGTTTTTTTACAACGTATAGAACTGTATAGGTTGGGTCTATAGCAGGCAGAGCAGGTTCTCCACCAGGGGTGCAGATCTCTGTCTCACTGAGGTTGGACTGGGAGCTCCCTTGTGTCTTTGGCAGATCTTACATTGACACACAGCATCACAGTGTTCCCTCAGAACACGAGAAGTAATTCTTTGGAAAGAAAAGGAGTTTCTGGGTGTATCTCTGGGTTCCAGAGCGTAGTTTCTAAGGTGCCTGTTAGAGTGTAGCTCTTCTCCTTGCTCCGTTGGCCTGTCCCCACTCCTTTTGGTGACTCCCTGGTGATAGGCTCCCTGTGCTGCCGCTGCCCCATGGAGTAGATGGGGTGAGGTGGGGAGGTCTGTGCACGGAGCCCAAACCCACCCTGCTGCAGGGGACAGACCACACCAGGGCTGGGCCTGGGGCTCTGCACACACCAGCACCAGCCGTTTGTTACTCCTTACACTCTGCATTCTGTGCAGAAAAGAGCTTTCTTCCACCCCCTGCCTACCTCCTACTTCCCAGCTAATATTAAAAGCAGAGACAGCTCTATAAAGAAATTATGTTGCTGAGGTCATTGCTTTTATAAAGTACTTACTAGCACTTTATGAAGTATGAAAAATGAAGTTGTTTAAAATACTGTTGAATAGAGATTGCATATAATCCACACACCTTTCTCACTTTCTCTTTCTTCGCCAATTTCTCCAAATTTTGAGATTGAAGCGTCTCCTTTTGCTGCTTACTGTGTAGCCAGTCTGCTCCATCAGGAGAACCCTGCACCTCTTCCCATCCCATAACATCATCTGGTTTTCTGCTGTTCTGAGCATTGTTCCTGTTCCTCCCCTCCAGGTACTGCTATGTGGATATTTGTTAGCAATGACTGATGTGGAATCTACATATGCAGACTTTATTGCTTCGGGAAGAACGGGTAGAAGAAATGCGTTACATGACATCCTCGTGTCCTCGCCGGGTGGGAACTCCAGTGAACTCGCCTTAAAGTTATCAGAGCTTGACATCAACAAAGCGGGTGAGTACCTTGGGGGCTTTCAGTATCAGTATTTAGAGCCAAGGGTAGCACAGCAAACACACAGAACATGGTGTGTGTGTGTGCATTATTCCCTTGGCCCCCAGCAATAAAGTAAGATCAGGGTTGCCTGCAGTAAGAAGCCCCGATTTCCTCAATGGGCAGGGTGGTTATTGGCAAGAACAGCAGGTTATTGGAAATCATTCTGCAGCGAGCACCCAGTGACAGGCTCCATGTCATGATGAATTTTACAGAAAATTGAGCATAAGGAAGAAAATAAGGAAGTCTTTATTAAAATCTAACTCTTAAGGAGACCTTTCTCCTTTGGAGCCCGTAGCAGAAGCCATGTGTCCACTTGAAAGGTCATTGTGGAGACTGGTTTTGTTTCAGGTGCCGAGGGACAGAGTACCAGCAGAGCCTTGCTGTTTGCTGCCCTCGGGTCCCTCTCTCTGGGTGACTTGTCCCTTTCCCCTCCCTGCTGGTGCTTTGTCTTTCTTCTGAGGTGGTCAGTGCCAATGTCACCCCCAGCCTCACCTCACCACTGACCTTACCAAGGTCTTCATCTGGGTGGGCGCCCATGGCCAAGGGGCCGGAGGGACTGTGTGCGGGGGAAGGCCTCACAGAAATAAACATAGTGACCTGGCTGGGGCATTATCAGCCTATTACCTGGGTGGGGGTGAACGGGTGGAGCTTGCAGGTACTTGGAAGCCCTTTCCAGATGTTAGGAGAGAGGCCTCGTGCTTACTTTAATAACAGTTTGTCAGGTGTTTCTCTGTGAGACACCAGACAGGGCTCTGGGGGCAGCCTCCTCCCTGGGAAAGGGGACATGGCAGCTTGTCCTCTGGGGGTGGTGCTGTTTGGAGGTGGGGGGGGCTTTTCTTGGCTTTCAGACTGATGTACATCTAGTCTTTCCTTCTGCAGCTGCCAGCCTGGGGCCTGTAGCTTCTGGATGCACGCAGATCGAGCTGGGCAGGGCCTTTTGGATTTTTTCTATTTGAAAAGCCAGGCTTGATTAGTCTGTGTGTAGGTGTGTCTACTTATTTTAATGTGGGGATACGTGCAAAATGTTGGAAAAATAGAAAGTAGGTGGCATTTGAAATGCATAATACCAGCCTTCCTGCTTGCTTTAATTTTTTTTTTTGGTCTCAAATTTATCAAAGACAATTTATCAAAATTGTCTTTGGTCTTGTCCATTTAGAAGATAGAAGTGATCCCTGTTTTGGGGTGCAGCTGCTGGAGTGTTGGGGAGGCAGAGCTGGGCTCCTGTGTGGGTACAGCACCATGACCCTGTGCCCGTAACGCTGGTGGTGTGCACGTTGTACATGCAGTGAGCTCTGCAGTGATGAGAATGGTTTAAATAACTGTTAGCCTAAATTTTAATACAAAATTCAGCAGTCTGGTTTTTCTTGGAGGCTTTTTTTGCAGCTTTGGTTAGTTAATCATTGCAGAGAAGTGTGTGCAGCTGCTGAGGACCGGGCCGGAGGGAGCAGACACAGAACTGCCTGCAGGCTTCAGCAGCAGGCCTGCACTGGGAAGTGCATACAGTGAAAATAAAATTAAACTTAGTGTTATTAGTACACCTAGATGCTGTAAAAGCTTCCAAACCACAGATATTGGAAAATGCACTCTATTCTCATTCGTACAAGTGTTAGTGTGTCATCCCAGCAGTCTTCCCAAAGCAAGGAGAGGCTCAAAACCACATTGCAGCCCACGTCCCAGCTCAGTGTCCCAGCGCTCACGGGGGATGGCCATCCCACCGGCCAGGATTTGGGGAAAACCCAGGCGTGGGGGTTCCATCTGATTGCTGTCAAGGTGCACCTCAAACTAGTTATGCCACGTCTCACCTGGTTATACAAACACAGACACACAAGTTGGATTCAGAGAGGTGGGGGTTGGCCTCTTCTCCCACGGGAATAATGACAGGAGCAAACGAAATGGTCTGAAGTTGGGGCAGGGGAGGGTTAGATTAGATCTGAGGAAGAATGACTTTCCTGAGAGGGTGGTCAGGCACTGGAACAGCCTGCCCAGGGAGCTGGTGGAGTCACCATCCCTGGAGGGCTTTAAGAAACGTGTAGACGTGGCTCTTCAGGGCATGCTCTAGTGCCCAAGATTGTTGGGTTGTGGGTGGGTGTGATGTGGTGGGGTGGTGTGTTTTGTTTTAGTTTGGTTTGGTTTGGGTTTTTTTGGTTTGTTAAGGTTGGACTCAATGATCTGAGAGGTCCCTTCCAGCCATGGTGATGCTGTGAAGTGCGGCTCTCTTCACAGTGAAGGGTTTCCCCTTCAATGCAAGATTGCAGTTCTGGTCTCTTTTCCCTTTGCCTGTGACAGGGGTGGAAGGACGCGGCTCTCCTCAGAGTGAGAGGTTTCCCCTTCAATGCAAGATTGCAGTCCCAGTCTCTTTTCCCTTTGCCTGTGACAGGGGTGGAAGGACAGTGGGGGCAGTGGGAGCGAACCCCTCTGTCCCAGGGCGGACCCCTCACCCTGCCCTTGTGTGTTGCAGAGGGAGAAGGAGATGCGCAGCGGCAGCCCAGCGAGCAGAGCGGGGAGGCGCAGGGGGAGGCAGCCAAGCAGGAGAGCTGACGGCCGGCCCTGAGCCCCCGCTCCCGGCCCACGCGGCCCGCGGGGACCCCTCCGTGTCCCCCAGCCGGCCGGGGGCAGCACCCCTCGTGTCCTCGGCGCCCGGAGCCCGACGCAGCGCTGGGCATGGGGGCGGCAGCGGCGGCAGGAGCTGGGATGCCCCCTGCCCCTGTCATCAGCAACGGCTGAGCACGGAGAGACCCTGCGGGATGGCGTCACGGATCCCCTCCCGATGGCTGCTGGATGGAGCGCTGTTAGAAAGCACAACAGGTAAACCTTGTAGCAAACAGCCTGTGAGACGCCGGAGGATGTAGTCGTGTATCTTAAGAGAGGGCTCCTGTGCTCCTCAGAGTTTAAGGTTCTCCGGCCAGAGAGTTGTCCCCCGGAAAGCCCTGTTTGCAGGACTCTGCCTGTTCCACAGCTCTGTTCCTGAGGATGGGCTCTGTGCCGTACGGCCCCAGCGCTCACACTGCCCCGGCCCCACTGCCTCTGAGGAATAGCTCTGCTACTGTGAATTTTTCTACCACGCGTTTTGAAAGGGCTGGTTTTTTGCATCATGTGGTGATGTGCACACGGTAGATTTACAGCCTCGGCCGCTAGATTGGTTATGCCTAAACCTAAATGACTCAGCAACACCCTGATTTGTTACTAGATGAGCCTTCAAAGCGATCTGTTAATGTGAATACTTGGGCGTGTTTCGTGTCCTTGGTACGGTTTTGCCACTTGCCTGTAGTTAGTTGCATATCAGAGACTCAAATTGAATCTTTTATGTTATTCTTCCCCATTTTTCTAATTTTGCTCCCGATTTCTTAATCTTTCTCTGAGATATTTTTTTAAAATGTTAGTCCAAGTATTTTATTGTTACGGTAGTTTTCAGAAAGCATTTATAACCTTACATGGGTTGAAATTCAGACAAACCCCGCGGTGCTAGAGGTGTTGCTGGCTCCCCTTGTTGGGGACGGGCCTTGTTTCCCCCGGGGGGGCAGCCGGTGTCACCCAGTGCCAGGAGCATGCCCTGGGAGGGGGTTTGGGTGGCAGGAGGGTCCCGCTGGTGGGTCGCGGGCTGGGTTTCCTGTGTCTCGCCGTGTCCCAGCACTGGCACAGCCAGGAGCCCAATGGTGATGCCACAGCCTGGTGCCTCCTGGTGGGACATGGGGAGGGACTTGGCACCTTGCACCTGAAGTTGGGGGCTTGTTCCAAACCAACTGCCCAACCCGTGCCCTCGCTGGTTCGACGGGATGGCTGGTGCAGCCATTAGTCACTGGTAGCCCTGCTGGGCCAGTCCCTCGCCCCATCCCGCCCCACAGGCCAGGCTGGGCCCTGAGAGCCCCCTGTGCCCCGGCCCACGGCACTCACCTCAGCACCATCACAGTCAGGAGAGCCCTTTGCTTTTACTAACGGGAGGTGAGGTCACTTTCTTTATATATAGTATATATAGTATATATATTTTTGTGTTGTTGTTGGTTTCCAATGTTATGCACTTTTTAATGTTTGTAAACTTTTACTAATGAATAGTGTGATTGCTTCCTGGATATATTAATCATCAGTTAAGGAAACATCCTTGTGGCCACAGCTGTTTGTTTCTACCACGTGTATCATAGTACTTGTCACCTGGAATTTTTTTGTGAGATGTGTGGAGAAAAAACCACCCCACTTCTGATCAGTATTATGAGCTCATTCATTAGTGTTAATAAAACCCAAGGCGGCAGTTTGCTTGTGGCTCCTTAGTGGAATTTTAACTCACCCTCCATTGTCTGGAAGCGGAATGCCTTGCTGTCTCACTGGCTGTCAGAAGCCCTGTCCTGCTGGTAACAGAGGTATCCATTTGCTTTGAAAATACTATTATCCTTAAACTAATTATTTATTCATTTGTTTCACTCAGTGTTCCTTTCACAGTTAACACCGTATTATTGATCTGTTTGTAGTTTCCCCCCCTTGCTCTTCCATCAGGTCTCCAAGCTGAAATGGGTGCCCCTTTGCCATGGACTAGTTACTGGCAACGCAGCACAACCGCCAGAAGGGAAGCAGGCTCTAGGGCTTTTTATAGTGTTATTTATTGATGAGCCACGAAGCATCATCAATAAAACGTTGCGGAAAAAGGCAATAGTGGAATAAGTAATCATTAAAGTGTTGGGTTTCCTTATTTTCCTTCAGAGCTTTTCTTTATTTCGGTACATTTTCCTCCTCCTTGATTCTTCTGTGTTGTGAAATAAAATTCATTTCAGCCTTTCCTCTCTATTTTGTACCCGTTTCTTCTGTTTCTCCTCCTGTGTTTAAAGCAGTTCCAGGGTCTCTGCTGGCCCCTGAGCCCCGTCTCTGTTTCTCCTCTTGTTTTCTGTTGTGTTTAAAGCAGTTCCGGGGTCTCTGCTGGCCCCTGAGCCCCGTCTCTGGGTGGTGGAGCGCGGTGCTGGTCCCTGCAGCAGGGTGAGGGGTGGCCGTGGGCACTGCTGTCTCCCCCGCGCCGTGGGGCTGGGGGCTCTGCAGCCTCTCACAGCAGCCTGGCCTCGGGTGAGGAGGGGGTTCCCTCTGCAGCAGAGCTGGGCCAGCTCCTCACACCCTCGTTCTATCTCGTCGTGTCCCCTGAGAGGGACAGGCGGCAGAGCCGTGGAACACACCTGAGCCGGGCCCTCTGTCACCAGGCAGGGATGGGCCTATTTTATCAACTAATTATTCCTTCCTTCTGGTGTTCAAATGAAATCAGATTCCCCCTTCTCTCTGACACGTGTGCCCGAGTCCCCCAGTGGCAATAAACAGAGCAGCACACGGGGCGTCCTGTAGCCCTTCCTCATGTCCTGTGGGTTGCCGTGGGCCTGGGCGTACGCTGTACCCACGTTGACACTGAAAATACACCAGGTATTTTCCAACTAAATACCACGCTCCAAATGGGAATACGCAGCCTAGAAATACAGTGTGATATTTAGCTTTTGGTGGTCTGTGCTCATCTCTTCTGCTGATCCTGGGAGTTACACCCCAGTGCAAATAGGACACGACGGTGTGTTCCAGCAGAGCATCTGGGCTTCCACAGCTCCTGCGTGCTCCTGCAACGTGGGCACAACGCAGCCCTGGACACCTCCTCACGGTCCTCAGGAACACCTCCTCATGGTCCCCAGGAACACCTCCTCAGGAACACCTCCTCAGGAACACCTCCTCACGGTCCCCAGGAACACCTCCTCAGGAACACCTCCTTGTGGTCCCCAGGAACACCTCCTCAGGAACACCTCCTCACCATCCTCAGGAACACCTCCATCACGGTCCTCATTTCCCTGGCAACAGCCTGCTGTCCCCAGGCCTTACTCCCTGTGCTGCCGAGCTGCAGGGTGGGGTGGCCAGGGGGATTCACAGGTCTGTGCCATCTGTGGTTCTTCTCATCCAGGGGGAGAATGAGGAACTCTCCTGGACACACGGACAACATCCTCGTGTGTTGGGAAAGGCACAGCCCAACACACTGTGATGCTGCTGCAGTAGCTGCCGTGGCTGTGGGGATGGTGTGGAGCCCTCCCCCAGAAATACAGACATGCAAAGTAAGGATTGATAGCACAGGGACACCTCCTGGTGGCACCTCCCGGTGGCATCCTTTAAAGGGAAGGATTAGAGATGTAACCGGCCTGTAGAGACAGAGGTCCAAGGAGTGGTGGTGGGTTGGGGTCACTGAGGTGATGAGAAATTCCCTTGGAAATGGTGAGGCAGAGGATCATCGGTGCCTCTTGTACCTGACTGAATGCAGCCTTGGCTCTTCTCCTGTGTCTCATACCTGTCAGAAAGCGTTTCTCCTGCAGGTTATCCACACCGTGCAGCAGCTGGAGCCCTGCCACCCCTTCCACCTCATCCCCAGACCGTGCCCTGCTGCTGATGCCATCACACTGAGGCTTTGGATTGCTCTTTCTTCAAATAAATACAACTTTTCAACATGTTTTTACCAAAGGCCAGAAGAGTCCTGAGGCAGGATGTTAATCTCAGGTGCTGAAAACATATCAGACACTTAAAAAAATCTCAGGGAGAACCTTCTTCACCAGCACTGGTGCCTGGTTAGGTACATACAGCTCAAAAGACACAAGTTTCTGCTGTCTCCCGTCCAACATGGCTCTCTGGGGCGGCACTCAATCCACTGGTTCTTACTGCTTCTCTCTCTGCTGCAGTGTTCGTTCTGCCACCTCTCGAGAGGGTTTGGCAGGTGTTAGAAGCTCTGGAAGAGTCCACAATCAAAACCACTTGCTTTTCTAAAGGCAACACTTGCCAACATAAAGGTTTGCCCACTCCCCTCCACCCCATACCCTATGGGTCGCACAGAGCCGATGCTGCCACAGCAGGGAACACTGTCTATTGTCTTCTCTTCCTTCTCCAAAGTCGAGTCTCTGGGTTGGGAGCAGGTGTTTTAGGATTGAGAAGCAGTTCTGTGTGAGACAAAGCCACGGAGAACTCTTCCTACCTGCAGAGCAGTCTGCCTGCCCTTCCAGCAACGGAGGGCCCCCGGAGAGCTGTAATACTGTGAGTTATGCCAGTGATGGTAAGTTTGGCTGCAGTGCTGCTCCCAAACATAGCAAAAATGTTATGCTTCTGTCACTGAAACCCCAGAAATTGGTATTTAACCATTGCAGCCCCAGCGCTGCTGGTGCCGTTCCCGAGGTGCCGCAGGGGATGGAGCTGCTGCGCACTGTGTCCTCCACGGTTCTGCTGGGAACACCTTCCCTAAGCCTTCCCTGGTGCTGGAAGCTGAAAATGATAAATCTCCCTGATGAAAGCTGTGTACGTTCCTGATATATATATATATATATATATGCATTGCTGCCTTTGGCCTGCCTTGTGCTGGTTACTGGCCTGTGAGAGTCAAAGCAAAGCAAGTTCCCATGTTTAACGTTACAGACAAATCCACGCCCTGTACTAAACAGCATTCTTTCTTTGCCGGATTTTGCCCATCCAGTACCTCCTTGTGCTGTCACCCTATTGACCTGCAAGTGCTGTTGTTTGGGACGACGAAGCACCTCATTTACCCTGCCGAGGTGGTGGTACCGCTGTGGCTGCCGATGCACAGCGCGAGCCCCGACGCCTCAACTCCCCGTTTCCATGGGTGTTTGGGGTGCAGGAGCCCCCTGTCCCTCAGCTCCCTGCCAGGCACCTCGGGCTCCTCTCCAGCAAAGGGCTCTGCTCCCCAGCCACCGCTCCGCTTCCCGCAGCACTTCCCAAAGTGGTACTCACCCACTGGGGAGCCAGGGAATACTTAGGACTTAATACTTTTATCTCCCACACTGAAACTGATTGTTATTGTTTCTCTGCTGTTTTTATTTATATTTAATGTTATTTTATTAGTGAGACTATACAGTGTTTTATTCCGGTTTTCTAACCATTTTCACAGTGACAGCGAATGTAAGTGACTGTAAAGAACCCAGCAGTTAATTCCAGGCTCGAGTCACAGTCCCAGACTGACTGGGGCTTGGCAGGACCTCTGGAGATCATCTGACCCTGCCAGAGCAGGAAAGAAGTGAGTAACCACTTTGAGTCTTACACCACGCTACCTCTGTGCCAATTGTAACTACTCTGTGCTCCGTACATTCTGAGGAAAAAAAAAGATTTAAAAAGAGGGATATGATTTATACAGATTATAGAGCAACCTCATAAGAACTCCCTTCTCTGAAGGGAGACTCAGGTGAGTGTTGAGCTCGTACACTCCGACTGCCAGAAACAGGAGAACAGACTCAGGTGAGTGTCGAGCTCGTACACTCCGACTGCCAGAAACAGGCCCAGCCGATACTTTTTGGTGAGGGTTTCAGTCCCAGGGAGAATTAATGGAGCATTTTTTTCCCCGAGGTTTCACTGAATAAATTGCCCCAATTCAAAACCACTGATTATCCCTCATGTGACCGAGCGCACTGGTTTGGGCTGAGCTGGAGGTAATTTCCTACGTGCAGAGTCAGCAGAGAGAGAGGCTTCTCCAGGGGGTGATTCAGGAGCACAACCCAGTGCAGGTTCTTTGCCTTGTGCCCTCCCTGAAGCGTCTGGGACACAGAGCTCCCTTCGGCTCTGGGGGAGGGTTTCCCCACGCCGTGCACCCCACAGTCAGGGCTCACAAACTCCTCTTCCATCTTCATGTCCTGCTCCTTTGGCCCGTTCTCATGGGCTGAGACAGCGAGGGCTGGTACTGCTGGGGAACAGCTCCTCCAGGAACCCCTTTCACTGCCCTCATCCCTACCTTGGGGGAACCACTGTAACCGGTTAAATATTTAAAGTGGGGCTTCTGTATTTTCTCCCTGGGTGAGGGAGAAGGTTTTTTGTATTGCATATAAAAGCATGTGACTGAGCTGGCAATGTGGTGCCTTCAGTGGGAGCAGACAACCACAAGTCCCCACTTTGAACCCTCAGTGATTGAAAATTGTTCTTACGCAAGAACTTGAAAACGTTTTCATACCTGAAAAAGCCGTGGCTTGGGCTGTGATTTGATTGTGAAGGGACAGAATGAGACTGTTTCATATTGTGCTATTTCTTTGCACTTAACGGCAGAAGGAGGAGGGAGATACATGTCACTTCCAAACATATTTCTTTCCATCTACTACCATGTTCTTTTCTATTTTAAGATGTGAGTAGTGCCGCAAAGGGGCTGTGAGAGAGGAACTGCCACGAGGAATTACAGCAGGGGTGGTGTCCGAACCGAACACCAGTTCTGTTTAACAGACCTGAGTATCATTCCATGGAAACTGCTGCTTTGAGACAGATCACGGTGGGTTCCTGTCAGTGCCCTGATCTCGTGTTAGTGAGCTCACTCCCCTCTGTACTGCTCACGTAGCACATACTGACATGGCTCTGCTCTGCTTTGCTGCTTCCTCAACACTGGATACAATCCTTCTTTGAGCCTGAGACATCTAATACTTTAAAGATTAGCCCATTTTGGTCCCTTTGAGTAAAATAAAAAGGCTTTTAAAGATTTTTCCGTAGGAAACGCGCAGGCTCAGCGGAGCGTGTGCCCTCTGACAGCTTCAAGGTGAACAGTCAGGGTTTGTTATTCTGCTGTTTTGTCTACAGCCCAAAGAACATTTAGGAAGGTTTCAGAAAGATCCTGATGAGTTTTGTTCATAATTTGGAGATGAAGTGACTAAGGAAATCAGCCTTTCTACTGCTCATCCAGGAGTGAGATATTTTCCCCACCCAAGATGTGAGTTCAGATCAGTGAAAGATCCCTTCCTTACCGCTGGGTTCTTGACCCACATGGTTCATCAGTAAAATATCTGTATCTATGTCTATGTATCATT